GGGCTAATTCCATATTTTGGTCTTCAAGCTCTGATATTCTTTCTTCTGCCTAATTGATCCTGCTCTCTATGCTTGTTACTGTGTTTTAAATTTCTGGAATGAAATTCTTCATTCCCATTATTTCAGAATGGGCCTTTCTGAAAATGGCCATTCTGCTTTTACTTCCTGTACAACTTTGGTGAGTTTCACTTCTAGTTTTTCTTGGCTCTCTCTGTTCATTGTAGCCACCCAATCTCTGATTTCTGTGGCTGTCATCTGGGGTGGGTCACTGTGGGGGTTTCCATTGTTTGTGCTCTGATAGCTGCTTTTTCAGATGCTGTCTCTTTAGGACTCTGAAGATTGCCTATAGTTTTTTCTTTGATTTTTCCTCATTTGTGACCCTCTATTCTAGGGCACTTTTGGTCATTCAACATAGGCTACTCTGTGAGAGAGAGGGGAGCATTCATTTCTGCTCCTTGTGTCACCCTGTGACAGACCTCTCTGTTGTAGATTTTCTCTCCCACTGTTAAACTAGTTGGGTTGGTTTTTCCTTCCTGTTGCATGCACTCTAAGGAGGGTGGGTGGGAGGGATGGGCCCCCATCTGCTGTCTGAAGTTTGCAGCCCAGAAGCCTTTCCACTGGGAAAGCCTTGGGGTGTGTTTTGTGCCACTTCCTCCCTGTTCACCTCCAAGCTTAGCTCTTGAAAAAAGAGCAGGCCAGGAACAGTGGCTCGTGCCTATAATTCCAGCACTTTGGGGAGCCAAAGTAGGATGATCACTTGATCCCAGGAGTTTGAGACTAACGTGGGCAATATGGCAAGACCTTGTCTCTACAAAAAGAAAAGAAAAGAAAAGAAAAATTAGCCAGGTATTGTGGTGCACTCCAGTGGTAGTTCCAGTTACTCAGGAGACTGAAGCAGAAGGATCACTTGAGGCCAGGAGGTCAAGGCTGTGCTGAGTCGTGATCATGCCACTGCACTCCAGCCTGGGTGACAGAGTGAGACTCCAACTCAAAAAAAAAAGAGCAAGTTCTCTGCCATGGGGGATGGGGAGTGATCCAATCTGTGGGCACATGGGGCTGGGAGATGATTCTTCAGATCTGGCAGGTGGGTTGGCCACCAGCTGCTGGCCATGACACCAGCTGAGTTCAATCTACAAGCAGAGCTTTCCCTGCCTGAAAGCTGGCCAACGGGCTCTGTTGGCAAAAGGTGCATGCTCATCTGAGTGTGGGTTTTGTTCCCCTTTCCACTTGGGCTCTGGTCACCCACCACTGTACCCTGTTCAGGACTCTTCCTGCATGGGACCAGCTGGGAGAGTGGGAGCCAATACAACATGTCTTAGGATCACTCACCCCTCTCCTTCACTGGGGAGGGGGTGAGTGATCCTAAGACATGTTGTACTGTGCGAGCCTGGCACATAGTGAGGGATGGGACATCGAGGTTCCAGCTTCTACTGTAGCTTCTGGTCTCTATGTGTTCTAGGAGATCTTTGCCTGGGTGCAGGGTGCCTCACTTGCTCAAAACTGTTCAGGGTGTCTCTGTCAGTGGCTGAATCCCTACTCTCTGCCTTGTTGGCGAGAGAAGTACCAATCTACTGTTCCACGGTGGCTATCTTGGAACCTCCTATATTTGATATTTATAAGATTCCTCCTCATAGGCAGGATGCAGTGGCTCATACCTACAATCCCAGTGCTTTGAGAGGTCAAGGTGGGAGGACTGCTTGAAGCCAGGAGCTTGAGACCAGCCTGGACTCCACCTCTACACAAAATTTAAAACTTAGTCCCAGCTACTCAGGCTGCTGAAGTGGGCAGGTTGCTTGAGCCCAGGAGTTTGACACTGCAGTGAGCTATGATCATGCCACTGTATTCCAGCCTGGGCAACAGAGCAAGACTCTGTCAAAAAGAAAAAAAAAAAGAAGGAAGGAAAGAATGAAGGGAGAAGGAGAGAGGAAAAGGAAAAAGGCCAGGCACAATGGCTCATACCTATAATTTTAGCACTTCGCGAGGCTGAAGCTAGAGGATTACTTGAACCAGAAGTTCAAGACTAGCCTAGACAACACAGTGAGATCTTGTCTCAACAAAAATTTTAAAAATTAAGTGAGCATGGTGGTGCACACCTGTAGTCCCAGCTACTCAGGAGACTGAAGTGAGGGGATCATCTGAACCCTGGAAGTCGAGTCTATGGTGAGCCATGGTTATGCCACTGCACTCTAACCTGGGGGACAGAAACACTGACTCAAAAAAAAAAATTAGCCAGGCTTGGTGGCTCATCTTATAATCCCGCACTTTGGGAGGCTGAGGTGAGTGGATTACCTGAGCCCGTGGGTTCAAGACCCGCCTGGGCAACTTGGCGAGACCTCATCTCTGCAATAAATCAAAAAATCAGCCAGGCGTGGTAATGCGTGCCTGTACTTCTGGATACTCGGAAGGCTGAGGTGAAGGATCGCCGGAGCCCAGCAGGTCGAGGCTGCGGTGGCCAGGAGCGGCCACTGCACTCCAGTCTGGGCGACAGAGTGAGACTCCAACTCAGAAAAAAAAAAAATTGATAAATGTGTGATGACCTTGTTTCGTGGCTGGAGATGAACCACAGCTATGTCTGTTTACCATGAGCATTGTGAGCTATTACAGGCCTTTGGACTAAGGCAGGGGACACCAAAGATAAAGGAGCATGTTGCAGGCACAAAAAAGATGGAGGAACATGTCCACCATAAGACCTTTTGTGAGAGCAAGGAATTAGAAGCAATGAGCCAAGCATGTTCGTTCACACCTGTAATTCCAGCACTTTGGGAGGCTGAGGTGAGAGGACTGCCTGAGCCCAGGAGTTCAAGACCAGCCTGGGCAACATAGTGAAAACTAATCTCTACAAAAAAGAGGAAAACTAGCCAGGCACGGTAATGCTTGCCTATCCCAGCTGCTCGGGATGCTGATGTGGAAGGACCATCTGAGCCCGGGAGGTCGAGGCTACCATGAGTCCTGATCATCGTGATAATGCCACTGCACTATAGACTGGGCAACTCCAAAAAAAAAAAAAAAGAGGAGGAGGAGGAGGAGAAGAAAGAAAGAAAGAAAGAAAGAAAGAAAGAAAGAAAGAAAGAAAGAAAAATTAGAAGCAACGTAAATGGTCATTGAGAGGGAAACAGTTAAATTTAAAAAGAGGAAGTGGAGTTACATGCACTGATAATAAGAAACCTCCCAAGACATATTAAGCGGAAAAATATTTTGCAGAAATGCAGAATATCTTACTGGTAAAAAACAAACAAAACAAAACAAAAAACTAAAATTCAACCACACATGAGCACACAGACAGCATGTTTGTATGTGCATAGAAAAAGGTCAGGAGATATACAGTTATACCAAACTGCAAGTGGTCACTCAGGGAATTAGGTTTGGGGTGGGAGTGTGTGAAGGAAGAGGAATCTTTGCCTTCAAACATGTATATGTTGCCTGAATTTTTTATGATGAGCCCTGAATGGTTTTAACAAAAATAATAAAGGAGAAAGCAAAAAAAAAAAAAAGGAAAGAAAAAAGATACATGCAAAAAGCTAAATAAATTTTGAGACCTTGAGGTAGAAGGATTGCTTGAATTTAAGCGCAGCCTGGATAAGATAGCAAGACTCCATCTCTTAGAAAAGAAAGAAAGAAAGAAGGAAAGGGAAAGAAAGAGCTAAAGAAATTTACAAAGGGAGAAGGGCATGGTAGCTGATGCATACAATCCCAACAATTTGGGAGGCCAAGGCAGGAGGATTGCTTGAGGCCAAGAATTCAAGACCCCCGGGGAACACAGAAAGACCCTATATCTAAAGAAAGAAGGAAGGAACAGAAGGAAGGAAAGAAGGAAGAAGGAAGAAAGGGAGGAAGGGAGGGAGGAAGAGAGAAATTTGCAAAGGGAGACAGTTTAGACAGTTTTGGTTTTACAGTGAGACCAAGGCTAACAGAGACCTAAAACTAAGGAGTAGCTCTTGTCCAGTCCAGATAGTAGCTGCGGCCAAGACACAAAGAGCACATATTCTCATGAGGGATATTACTTGTTAACTGACTAAATAAGACAAAAGCCTTCGAGGGCCCTAAAACTCATTCTCTCCGACCGAAGTTACAAGCTGTGGGAGAGAACCTATAACTCCATTGCTCAGACCAAGCCAAATTTGCAGAAAGGAGGTTTTCCATTGTCTGCATTTACCACTAGACATCTTTCCACCATCACATCATCAGCCTCCTCATCCCCGTCATCACATAGTTGTTAACAATTATTGGATGTTCACTATGCGTTAAGGACTGCACGAAGTACTTCACATTCACCCAATCGTTTCCAAATCTTCCAAGGCATGAGTCTACAGGGGAAAAAAATGTTTTAAAGGATGAATCCTAAGCAACAATCTTCAGAAAGTAGCAGATGGAGGAAGAAGGAAAAAGCCCCCTCCTCTTCCTTCTCTTGCTAAACGATAATATTTTTACTCCTCGCAGATGGTGCCTCCCTGGAAGATCTTCAGTGGCAGCAAAGATGGATTCTGCCGGACTGCCTGGGGCTTTTCACCGCACCTGTGTTCTGCCATACTTTTCACTTTCCGACTCTCCTGGAATGGATGGCTTGGAGCACGTCCAGATATCAAGGCAGAACATGTGAGACAAGCTGGAGAGGGAATGAAGGAGGAGTATCACCAGGTAAGAGAGGAAGGGAGGGGAGGGAGAAGGAGAGGAAGAGAGACGGAGGGGGCAGGAGGAAAGAGGGAGAGGGAAAGGATGGATTTTTAGTCTCCCACACAAAATAGCACCCTATGCAACAGACAAACTATGTCTGGAATTTCCTGCCCGCTGAGCAACACTATTGAACCCAGATGCAGCGTTCAAGTTCATGTTCAGTCACACATACCCAGCCAGAGCTCTTCACTGAACTTTAAAAGACACAAGTCTATTATTAGTTTTAAAAGTCTTTCTGGTGGTAATTTTTTCCCCTACGTGCATAAAATTCCTCTATTTCAGAAGATTCCCAAAGCTATGGGAGAAATTCAAAAGTATGTTCCACTTACCAAGGGGTACACCCCGGAGCTTTCCTTCTTCTGAAACAAGATGTCTTCTGTGGTGGTGGACACCAGTGACTCCCCGGAGACCTCTGCTTTGGCCTGGAATTCTATTCCGTTTTCTTCAAGGAAGTGTGATGCTCCCTTTTTTGGTCTCCCCTCTCCCTTTTCGGGTCCCAGCCCTCCTCTTTCTTGTCCCAGTTTATCTTGGAGCATCTGGTAGATTTTCTCCTCAAGTTCACTAGAGGGCTGCGTTTCAGGGGAACTAAACGGCTCTTCATCAGAACTGATTTGATCCACATCAAGTTCAATTTGTGAGATCAGGGTTCTTGTTCCAGAATCCTCCGATTGTAATGAGTGCGTTGACTCACTACCTCTGGGGGTTTCCTTTTAAAAAGAAATAAAAGATCATGATTCCAAACACAGTCAGTAAAGGTTGCCACATCCTCATTTATTACCCTTTGTTGTTTCTAATCAGTCAGACTTGGTGTTAGCCTCATCTTGGAATTGTGAAATGTTTTGTTTTGTTTTGTTTTCAAAAAGAGGCTGAGGCACGGTGGCTCACGTCTGTAATCCCAGCACTTTGGGAAGTGGAGGTGAGAGGACTGCCTGAGCTCAGGGATTCAAGACCAGCCTGGGCAAACTGGTGAGACCTCATCTCTACAATAAATCAAAAAAATAAGCTGGGCCTGACGGCATGTGCCTGTGGCTCCAGCTACTTGAAGGGCTAAGGTAGAAAAATCATCTGAGACTAGCAGGTTGAGGCAGCAGTGGCCGTGAGCATGCCACTGCACTCTAGCCTAGGCAACAGAGACTCTGACTCCAAAAAAATTTTAAAAAGGTGAGACATTTTGTACTTAAATAATGAAGCATGGGTGTCCTCCAGTTTATTCTTTTTTTTTTGGAGTTGGAGTCTCACTCTGTCACCCAGACTGGAGTGCAGTGGCCGCTCCCGGCCACCGCAGCCTCGACCTGCTGGGCTCCGGCGATCCTTCCGCCTCAGCCTTCCAAGTAGCTGGAACTACAGGCGCGCACTACCACGCCCGGTTGATTTTTTGATTTGTTGTAGAGATGAGGTCTCGCTGCCCAGGCGGGTCTCGAACCCGCGGGTTCAGGCAATCCACTCGTCTCAGCCTCCCAAAGGCGCGGGATGACAGGCTGAGCCACCGAGCCTGGCTCTCAAGTTTATTCTTAAGGTACCAATAGACCCACAACAGCAAAATCATTCTCCTAAGTGGCACTGGTGATCTCCAGGAGACTAACTAGTCAGAGTTCCTTATCCTTGACCCAGAGCTGAGTTCCCCTATTGGGAGCCGTCTGTGGGAAGCCTACACTATTACTTAGACTTTGTTCTACGGCAGGCACATTTCAGCTAACCCCTACCAGCCCTTGAAAAGTCAACTATAGCCTGGCACACATGTAATCCCAGCACTTTGAGAGGCTGAGGTGGGAGGCTCACTTGAGTCCAGGATTTTGAGACCAGTCTGGGCAACATAGTGAGACCGCATCTCTACAAAAAAATAAAAAACTTAGCCAGGCATGGTGGTGTGGTAGTACTAGCTACTCAGAAGGCTGAGGAGCGAGGATCACGGTGAGCCATAAAAGTATCACTACACTTCAGTCTGGGTGATAGAGTGAGACCGCAACTAAAAAAAAATAAAGGCTGGGTGGGGTAGCTCATGCTTGTAGTCCCAGCACTTTGGGAAGCAGAGGCGAAAAGATTGCCTGAGTTCAGGAATTCGAGACCAGACTGGGCAACTTGATGAGACCTCATCTCTACAATAAATTAAAAAATTAGCTAGGTGTAGTGACACGTGCCTGTGATTCTAGCTACTTGGAAGGCTGAGGTAGAAGGATAGCCTGAGCCCAGTAGGTCGAGGCTGTGGTGGCCGTGAGCATGCCACTGCACTCCAGCCTGGGCAACAGAGTGAGACTCCAACCCAAAAAAACAAATAAAACTTTAAAATAATAATAATAATTTAAAGCCAGGCTCGGTGGATCTGCCTGTAATCCCACGCTTTGGGAGGTTGAGGTAAGAGGATTGCCTGAGCCCGCGGGTTCGAGACCCGCCTGGGCAGCGAGACCTCATCTC